CGAAGGCCCGAGAAGGAGAGACAATGAGAATGAAAGTATGGAGATTGGAGAGATCTGCAATGCCGGTTTTGTTTTGGCATAATTATGCACTCTTTTGTGATATCTGGAATAAGTAGTTCAAGTGGCGCACTAATTTGAAAATGTATCGACCCACTTGGGACTGGGGATGGTCGTATGTATTGACACGATGTTGAATAATTTGACGATTTGATATTGACGAAAGGAATAAAATGGAACCTCAACCAAATTCATGTATTTCTTTATTTTAATAATCGTTTAATTATTGTTTCCATGACTTCCCCCCCCCCCCCCCCCCCCCCCCCCCCCCCCCCCCCCCCCCCCCCCCCCCCNCAAGTTCATCGTTGCCCTGACAACCACCTGCACCTCCACCTTGTTGATGCAAAGCGACGGATACGAACGGGCTGGACTTGTTTGCCTAGTCGACCATTTTTACTCTTGTATTGTCTCATCTTTCTCCTGTTCATCTTCCTTGTGTGTCAAGCTTTAACATTGATATTGTACTGACATTCCTCCATTCTTCAAACCTCAACTATTGACAGTTCCGCGCCCGCTCTGTCTAATATTCGAGCGACGGGGATTGATTGTCGTCGTTGTCTCATCGATACCCACCTCAAGTACCATACTATGAGGCAGTGAGCTCAGAAAGCGACACTACATTCCACGGCTTATCATGAATCGCCATCCGCCATCCAATTACGGCGACGCGCCGCCAGCATACCTCAACCACGACACGGTTTCATATCTGTCCGATCCCGAGTCTCCGACTAATGCCTCGCGTCTCAATGGAGGAACAATGCGCTTGTTGCCAAGTGGTGATGGCGCCGATGACTTAGCTAGTAGCTATAGGGCTCCTTCGCTTTCCCATTATGATCCTGATTATGATCACACTCCGTATGTACTTCCCAGCTGCCTCTGATAATACCCCTCCGCGGTTTCACATTCCAGTGGTCTCCCTCGCGACAGAACCACGTGCATCCCAAAGTCCAACTCCTTCATTGACGTGTTGGAGAGGCTGGGAGAAACCTTGTGCCGTGGGCAATTGCCCGCGAATGGGCATTGTTACTGGGCTCGAGCCAACTCCTTCCTGCTGTTTGGTCGATCATCATACCCTTACACATTGTACAATTAGTACTCCAGTACATTGTTTATTGTTTCATCCTCCACTCCACCTCCACATTGGCCCTCTTCCTCTTAGCTTCAAGGCAAAATGGAACGTCGTCCAAGACCAAGGTCTAACATCAGGTCGCGCAATTCTAGGACCGGACAAGATCAACGCTATGACAATTATTACCAGGTGCCCAGCGCCTCTTCGCCTTCACGTCCACCATCCAGCTTGGCCAGCGGACCCAGTATCCCGCTTCCCACAGCAAGCCTTGCAGACACTTCCGTTTACCCATCGATTCCCCCGCGCACAGGATCTCCAATTCGCCCATGGAGCCCATCACACATCCGACCACCGTCTGTGTCAAGTGTTGGATATGAACGCGCCGATCTGAACGGCAGCCCGCGGCCCGGCACACCTAGCTCGAGATATGGAGGTAGCCCTCGTCGACCATTGCCTCCCGCGCCTCTGTTCTCCGGACCAAAATCAACAGTAGATACGAGCATCGATATTGGTGATGCCCACGGCGAAGATCCATTTGGTGGGGATGGCCGCACATTTCACCACACCTCGCGCGGCAGCGTCCGATCATTCATGAGCGAATCGACAATGTTGGGAGACGAGAAAGATGCCATGTCAAAAGTCGACCTTGATGATGAAGATGACGACGAATCGCATGTTCTGGATCCCAACCTCCACTATGGCCCGGCACCGGACAAACAGGGCCGTCGTGGTGTTCGATCCAAGCAGGTCGCCAAAAAGGAAGTTCAGCTGGTTAACGGTGAACTTATTTTGGAGTGCAAAATTCCCACAATTCTTCACAGCTTCCTGCCTCGCCGTGACGAGCGCGAGTTCACCCACATGCGATATACCGCTGTCACATCCGATCCGGACGATTACGGTGAGCGGGGATATAAGCTTCGCCAGCAGATTGGGACCACGACTCGCGAGACAGAGCTGTTTATTTGTATTACCATGTACAACGAAGACGAGATTGGTTTCACCCGTACCATGCACGGTGTTATGCGGAACATCAGTCACTTCTGCTCGCGAACTAAGTCGCGTACTTGGGGCCGTGATGGATGGAAAAAGATCGTTGTTTGCATTGTCGCTGATGGACGTAAGAAGGTCCACCCGCGTACGCTCAATGCATTGGCCGCCCTGGGTGTTTACCAGGAGGGTATTGCGAAGAATATTGTCAACCAAAAGGAAGTTCAGGCACACGTGTACGAGTACACCACGCAGGTCTCGCTTGACGATGATCTCAAGTTCAAGGGTGCCGAGAAGGGAATTGTCCCGTGTCAGGTTATCTTCTGTTTGAAGGAACACAACAAGAAGAAGTTGAACTCCCACCGATGGTTCTTCAATGCTTTCGGTCGCGCCCTTCAGCCCAACATTTGTATTTTGCTCGATGTTGGAACTAGACCAGAGCCAATGGCGCTCTACCACTTGTGGAAGGCATTCGATCAAGACTCCAATGTTGCCGGCGCTGCTGGTGAGATCAAGGCTGCTAAGGGTAAGAACATGCTAGGTCTGCTGAACCCTCTGGTTGCAAGTCAGAACTTCGAATATAAAATGTCCAACATTCTCGACAAGCCTCTGGAATCGGTCTTCGGTTACATTACTGTTTTGCCCGGTGCGCTCAGTGCTTATCGATTCTTTGCCTTGCAAAACGACGCAGATGGCCATGGCCCCCTCAACCAATACTTTAAGGGTGAAACACTCCACGGTCAAGATGCGGATGTCTTCACTGCCAACATGTACCTTGCCGAAGATCGTATCCTTTGCTGGGAGTTGGTTGCCAAGCGGGAAGAGAGATGGGTGTTGAAGTTTGTCAAGAACGCTGTTGGAGAGACTGATGTGCCGGACACGGTTCCTGAGTTCATCTCCCAGCGCCGAAGATGGCTGAACGGTGCTTTCTTCGCGGCTGTCTACTCGATCTTCAACGCCAAGCAGATCTGGAAGACGGATCATACTCTTGCCCGAAAGATCTTGCTTCACGTCGAGTTCTTTTATCAATTCCTTAATCTACTGTTTACTTACTTCGGTCTTGTAAGTTCTGTTCTCTCTTTTCTCTGGAGGTGTCCACTAACTTTCTACAGGCCAATTTCTACCTCGCTTTCTACTTCATTGCTGGCTCTTTGACTGATGAGAAGCTTGATCCGTTCGGTCACAATATGGGCAAATACATCTTCATTGTTTTGCGTTATGCTTGTATTCTGGTTATGTGCCTGCAATTCATTATCTCGTTGGGTAATCGACCGCAAGGGTGAGTCCACATTACTTCATCACACATTACAACTTGACTAACATTTTTTTTTAGTGCCAAAAATCTCTATCTCTCTGGTATTATCATTTACGCCATCATCATGTTCTACACGGTCTTCTGCGCCCTCTACTTGGTGGTCAAAGAGTTACTTGCACGTGCTGGCATCGGAAGCAGTAATATGGATGTAGGAGACGGCCTAATGTTGAACATCGTGATTTCCATGTTGTCAACCGTCGGCCTCTACTTCTACACCTCATTCCTTTACCTGGATCCGTGGCACATGTTTACGTCTTCGATCCAATACTTCCTGCTCATGCCCAGCTACATCTGCATCCTCCAAGTCTACGCCTTCTGCAATACCCACGACGTAACCTGGGGAACCAAAGGTGACAACGTGATCAACACCGATCTGGGAGCAGCAAAAACCATCAACGGCTCTACCGTCGTCATCGAAATGCCCTCCGAACAACTTGACATTGACTCCGGCTACGACGCTGCCCTCCGCAACCTTCGCGATCGCCTCGAGGTCCCAGAGCCCCCGCCATCAGACTCCCAGTTGCAGGAGGACTACTACCGCGCCGTCCGTACTTACATGGTCTCCATCTGGATGGTCGCGAACGTCATCCTCGGCATGGTTGTGTCCGAAATCTACGGTATTGATTCAGGTGGTACAAACATCTACCTCGCTATCATCTTGTGGTCTGTCGCTGTCCTCGCCGCTATTCGTGCTATTGGCTCTACTACCTATGCCATCTTGAACGTCGTTCAAATGATCGTTGAAGGAAAGACGAAGTTCGATGCCGGTAATATGGCAAACTTTGCCCCCAGCTCTTTCGGTGGTTCTAGTGCGGGTGCTACCTCTGAGTCCGGGGCAGCCTCCGCTCGTCCTGTGCGCTATGGCGGCGGTGCGTCCTTGAAAGATAAATTTGCCGAGGCTCGCTGGAGTGCTGGTAGGGCGGTTGGAAAAGCTATGTTCTGGCGCAAGTAGATGATTGAGATGACTTCCTTTTGCGTTTTTTTTTTCTGATTTGTTTGGGGCTCTCTTTTTATTTGGGATTCTTGGCTTTCCTGGGTCTCGTGGAGTTCCTCTGATTTACGCGTTCTTTTGAGATATCAGGTGTTGAATCTTCTTTTTTCTTTTATGATGGAAATATTGTCACGATAGTGTTCTTGTTTTTTGCTTTTTATGCTCGTTGCTCTCACTTTACAGAGACCTGGACATGTGTATTGATGGATGTACTTATGTGCCCTCTTTTGGGGGTGGGAATTAATGTATTGGTTGATGATTCAAAAAATGACTGGACTCCATTGAATATTACATGATCTTTTCAAGCTTTTTATCCATCTTAGACTTGTTCTACATCAACTTGAGCGCAACATGCAATTCTTCCACCAGGCATCGCTAAAATTGAACACATGTTCACAAGGTTCGTATATTACGTCAATATCCCAATGAAAATTCCACACAAATCCCGCCATGAAATCCCATCTCCTCACATATACAATCTCATTTCTCATTAAGCCGATTCCCCTCAACCTCATGAATACGTGTATCCCGCGGCCCCAACTCCGCTGGAAACATCATCTTCTCCCTCTCCGGATAAACGATTAGACTAAATGCTGCGCCGAACTCGTAGAAGCAATCTCATCAATCATCGCCTCCTTCTGTCGCAAATTCTTCTTGTAAATTCGACGCTGCACGAGCATTGTCACAATAGCGATCAGAAGACATCCGCCCAATCCAGCGCCAAGTCCAGCGCTGATAACTGTTGTTTTTGAGGCCGGGCATGTGGCGCTGACACTTGAGCCGGAAGTGCATGTTTTATCTTCGGTGTTGGTGTTGTTATTAGTTTCAGAATCAGTGGTGCTGGCGTTCGTTGACGAAGGCGATGGTGATGATGATGAGGCTTTTGTCGATGACGAGGAGGAGAGTACGGAGGATGAGAGAGAGGAGTCGGACGAGCCTGATGAAGAGGATACCTCCGATGTGAGTGATGTCACGGAGACATTGATCATCTGGCCCATATCTAGGCGCACGGCGTTGTCGCAGCAATTTGTGCCGTTTACGCTGCAGCACCAGAAGCCGCGGCCTTGGGCAGGACAGGGGATTACATATAGGGTTGCATCGGAGGCTATTTGGATAATTTGTTAGAGTTGCTTGGTGAAGATGTGTTGATCGTTATGTTGTTGAGAGGTATATGTATCATTGAGCGAGAAGAAAGATAATATCAACTTACCCGTATGACAAAGTTCGGGACACTGTCCGCTCTTCCAGGTCTTGTCAGTGCAAGCGCCTTGTCGCAGCAGGCCTCGAAAATTTGGATCTTGGATATAGCATACTCCGCCAGAGAGGCAGATGTCATTAGGAGTTGTGTTGCTTTTTTCCAGTGAGCAGCAAGGGCTGTTGTCTTGGTCTGGGAAGCAGGGCTGGAAGCTTGAATCTGCCTCTTTGCCGTTTGTGAGATAGCATTGGCGGGATTGAACTATAGTCAGAAATACAGCTTGCAAAATGAGGATGTGAAGGATTGCTCTGAGGCGAATCATTTCTTCCTTGTTCTTAATTGACGGAGTGAGAAAGCGGGTAGGAGAACAGGCGAGGGAGGGTCGGAGAGGGGAAAGGAGATATTGATTTGATTTTAGACAGGGTCCGTTAGCGTAAAATCCAGAACTTGTTACTACTGAGGCTCACGGGATAAGTAATAATAGCTTTAACTTCTATTGGGTTCATAGATTTGAAGCGGTTAGTTGATCGTTCGGATTGGTCGGGAGCCCGCAGATCACTATGCCCTAGGTCCAACTCACTAAGCGCCGGGGTTTTACAGGTTTATTTTTGGCGCCTCAAATAAATTAAATGAGCTAAAAGGCAATGAAACTAAATATTTTTAGATGTCTTTTTATGTGTATATGAAGGCGGTAAAAAAAAGCATACTTTGCGCAAGAGACTTTTCTATGTATAACCAGGGACTATGACCTGAGTGCCTTGGGCAGGATATTGGAGGGGGTTTTGAAAATAAATTTTCATCATATAGGGGATGGAGACAAACTGAAGGGCAGAGAAAAGATAGACCCTAGCATCTGTAGCTTGATATGTCAGGAAGACCTCTAAGCTTAGATATTATATGTAACAATGAGCTATTCACATGATGCACAGCACCTGTTTGCCCAAATTAATCGTTTGCGGATATCCTTTGTTTTCCAGGCCTCCTCTAAGTATATATAGCCAGCTTTCTTTCGTAGGAACGCCCTCTTCTGTTCCTTTCCGCAGCACATGTCACTCATTATATAGCATGTGATATCCTATCTACGGGTTAAACTTTACTATTATTAAGTTGTTTATAGAAGACAAGCAGTTAGTTCTTTCCCCATCTATATCCTTCAAACTTCCAACGCTGGAATTTGCTATACAGACCTATGGCTGGCCTGGGTATTTGCTCACTTGACCAATATCGACTTCCCCACAAATATCTTGTCATATTTTCTATACAATATGCTTTACGAGATTGCTAGTACCCTAATCTAGTCCACAAATTTGCTGCGCCTGCTATCCAGGAGACCGCCAGAGGGAAAGGTGACACTTGGTCCGGGGTAAGTAAAGGCCTGGATCACAGAATCGACCTCCGGAATGAAGTTGTTTGTTGGGTCTGCTGCCATTGCAGGGAAAACTTACTGGGAACTTAACGCGAATATTGCTGTGAACAATGCTCTTTCTGGAAATTTTCAAGATGTAGAAATTGAATGCCAAAAGCAAAACTTTGAGTACTAGTCCATGATTTGAGATTTTGGGTTTCTATGAGGCACATGGGTGGAATTTGATATGATAGGCGACGCTTCCTTTAGTTCTATGCAGGGACTTTGGGTTTCCTGAAAGGTTATAGGATCTATTATTGATTGGATGTTTCGAAATCATTCAATTGATGGATTCGATTCTTCGGAAACGGTTCCGCTGTCTATGATGTTATTCCTAGCTGAGTGCTTGTTTTTATTGGGTCTAGACTGTATTGAATATTCTGAAATATTCAAGGTCTACACCAATCAAGATGTTCTTTAAACATAATCCTAGCGAACGACGATATGATTTGATCAATGCTCATCACATTATAAAACATCGGATGATAGATTCTAGCCGAGGTAAATTATCGCACCTTTCCGCTACTATCTCGCCCAATTTCACTTGAATGGCGCAACTCAATCTTGATAAGCGTGATATTTCCATACTGACAAACACAAATTAGTAGCCTGTGTATTACAAATCTGGTCTAGGATCGACTCCAAATAATGATGCTTCAAAATGTATGATAGGCTGTTACCCCGAAGACACTCACCCCGCATCACCGGTAAACACGGCAGCGTTGCATACCTGGGCATGATACAGGGCTAATATATATTGACTGACTAATACATTTGAGGGGTCTTGCTTTTTTGTTGATTCCTTTGAATCCTGGATGCAGCCTTGATAATATTTCTCGAGCATAGTCGAGGCTGTTAAACATGTTCTCAGAAAAAGGCAAGACGGCGCCCAGTGATCTAGAGGCCACAGATCTAGCACATATCACAGAAGATGAAGAGTCATCCGAAATACCCTCCACCTTTGCTGTAAAAAGCAAGGTGCATGGCTGTCTACAAGTTCTGGGTGCTTTCTTTATATTCTTCAATGTCTGGTTTGTCAATTACCTTCCGAGTTACAATTGAATATCAAAACTAACATCCCTCCAGGGGTCTAAACCTCGCATTTGGAACATTTCAAAGCTTTTATGCACTCACCTACATCCCATCATCGACTTCATCCGACATCGCCTGGATTGGAACAATCCAATCCTGGCTTCTAATCGTCGGTGGTCTACTATCCGGCCCACTCTTCGACCTCGGCTACAACCAGACTATGATTATAGTTGGAAGTATTCTAGGTGTAATTGGCATGATGATGCTCAGTCTTGCACATGAGTACTACGCCATATTCCTAAGCCAGGGAGTCTGCGTGGGCCTCGGATTCGGACTTCTTTATGTTCCCGCTATTGCATTGGTCAGTCGCTCTTTTACAACAAGAAGGGCCGTTGCATTAGGTGTTTCAAGCAGTGGTGCGCCTGTCGGGGGCATTATCTACACTACCATGTTCAACCAGCTTATACCAAAGGTGGGATTCCCCTGGACCGTTCGTCTTGTGGCATTTGTGATGCTGGCGCTGTTCATCGCGGCTGCTATTATGCTTTTGTGGCCAGAGAGACATTCAGTGAGGGTTAAATCTACCCAGCGCAGGAGCTTAATTGATTTGCGCGCTTTTAAGGATTTGCCTTTTTGGAGCTTTGCTATTGGGAACTTTTTCCTTTACCTTGGTTATATCACGCCTTTCTATTACATTCCAACTTATGCGGAGACGAAACTGGGTACATCGAGCTCAATGGCATCTAATGTCTTGATGATTTCCCAGGCTTCTTCAGTTGTTGGCCGTGTTGTCTTAACTTTATTTGCTCATTACTATGGGTCGATGGTTGCTTGGATCGTTTGCGGAGTACTCTCGGGTGTTCTGTGTATTTGCTGGATTAGTGCAGATACTCTGGTAAGGTTTATTCTTTTTGCAGCCTTCTACGGTAAGTGACGTTCCTTGCTCACCGGTGCTCTATTTTGACCCAAATCACAGGTGGTATTTCCGGGGCTTTAATTCCTCTCCCGCCCAGCGTTTTCACTCACGTCTGTCCCGACCCCAAGAGTCTTGGGACTTGGCTTGGAATGGCGCAGAGCTTGAGTAGCTTTGCAACTCTTGTGGGGCCACCAATAGCCGGTGCGCTCGCTTCCATTGGCGCCGACGGCAGTGCCGATTTGAACTACCTAGGCATTCAATTATTTAGTGGGACAGTCATGTGTTTTGGTGCGTTTCAGCTGATATTTCTATGGTATTTACTATACAAAAAGAGGGGCAAAACTGGTTTGTTCTAAAGGTAAGGGAAAAGAGCTGTTGGTAGTCTACATCAATGTAATTAATTGGCTACGAATCTTCCCCGAAGATCTTGCGAAATTGACCCCATTATTGAGCCAATATGTACTTTCGTTTGCTCACATCATTCTTAAATAAGCCCTGCTATCTTCTGAGAACTTGAATCATATAGTTCGGAGAACCAACCTATCACATCCACACGAAACCCTCATGTCACGGGATCTCGGGATTCGCTACAAATCACACTGGCGTGAGTCACACATAGTTATTGGCTGATAACATCGAGAGAATTAATAAAAACAGAATAATACCATATATATTGTACGCTCGCTTCCCTCTCAATTTCTAAACCCCAGTAACTCAAATAATAAATCTCAAACATGGCATCACTACGCCCAAAGGGCCCACTGGTGCCCTTCACTCCGGCTCTACTGCCAACGAGTCAAACAATCCCAGGGCGAACAATTCTCCTCGAGAAACTGTCCCCAAAGCACGCCGATGACCTCTTCACTCTAACTGGTGGACTCGAACCACTCAGAGAGGCTCTCTGGGATTACATGTTTGACGGCCCGTACTCAGATGCCGAAACCTTCAAAACCAGCATCGCATCGAAATCCACTTCAACAGATCCATTCTTCTACGCAATTATCGACAAGCGCAACTCCCTTTCCACCTTTGGAAAAGCAATTGGCTTCCTCTCTCTGATGCGCATAACTCCCGACCACCTGGGCATCGAAATCGGGAATGTGATGTACTCAGCTGCGCTCCAGCGCACGACTGGCGCGACAGAGGCGATCTATCTCCTCGCCCAGCATGCTTTTCATGAACTTGGATATAGGAGATTGGAGTGGAAATGCCATTCGCTGAATGAGCCTTCGCGGCGTGCGGCATTGCGCTTGGGATTCTCGTTTGAAGGGATCTTTCGACAGCACATGATTATTAAGGGAAGGAATAGGGATACGGCTTGGTATTCTATTTTGAAGGATGAGTGGGATACTTCTCTGAAGGGTAGCATGGAGAAATGGCTGAATGCCGAGAATTTCGGGGAGGATGGTGGTCAGGTTAGGTCACTGCAGGATTTGAGAGCTGAATCGGGTTGAGATGTTGGGATTGGAAAGTGATCGTCCGTATTTGGATGGTTGCAGTTAACCCCGCTTGCCTATAAAAATGCTGTACATAGAAAAAGAAAAGGAGTCATGTCTACTGATCCCAAAGAAGTCCTCTATCTTCATAGGAAATCGGCAATGGTGCTATTGAAGATCTCCGACAAGGGTGACTCTACGACTCCACCACCCCCACCATTCACCAGAGCTCGAGGATCGAGGGGGTTAGAGTAAAATGACTCGAGCAGAGCTGTATTCTAGCGAATATAAGAGTAAAAATGAGGAGATCAAGCAGAAAACCCAGAGAGAGAATGTCAAATGACTACGTGATGGATCTAGGTGTGACAAGGCCTACATAAAAATGAAATTCGAGATCCGAGATGGACATGACCGATGTTCTCCGAGATCTCCAAGAGATGTCATCGAACTTCTCCATTAGGACCTCTATGCTTGGAAGATGTTTACATTCTCGAAGTTCAACGAATAGAAGCAGTCTGGCTCATCAATCCCGATCCTTTAGCGGGTCTGCTTTGCAGCCAGAAGACACCACACTTCCTCGTTCTATACTTGTATTCGTCCCTGGAAATGACAAATAAAGAAAAAAAAAATGATATATGTTCGCAAGGACGTCATTAGTAACCTATAAGTATCCCCCCCCCCCCCCNTTAAATCATTACCTTCCAACCATTCAAACAAATTCCCAAATGTCCACATCAAGAATGACATCCAACAAAACACCAACTGCCAGAGAATACGGCTTCAACGCCAATCAAGGCGTAAACTGGTCCGACTACCTCACCTTCCGGCCAATCTACCCACCCTCCTTCTTCGAGAAAGTCTTCACTTACCACTCCCAAAAGTCCCACTCCACTTGGTCCCTCGCCCAAGATATCGGGGCCGGCTGCGGAATCGTCTCATCGAGTATTGCCCCGCACTTCAACAAAGTGATCGTCTCAGACCCTAACGACGGATACACCGCGCTCGCTCATAGGGTCCTCGTCGAAGAATCCCGCCTGCCAGAATCTAAGTTCCGGTTCCTGCAGGAAAGTGCCGAAAGGAGCTCTGTGGAATCTGACTCGGTCGATCTGATCATGGCATGTGAGTGTATCCACTGGACAAAGCCGGAAATTGCGATTGCAGAGTTTGCGCGAGAGTTACGCGCGGGTGGGACGCTTGTTATCACGCATTATAATTATCCACGCATTGTTGGGAACGAGAGGGCTCAGAGGGCTTGGACAGCTGTCTGTACATTTTATGCGGGTGAGGTTCATGACCCGATGCTTGATCATGCGTTGAGGATTCTGAATTCTGGGACTGAGGCTTTAGGGTTCCCTGTAGAGGATTGGGAGGGGGTGAAGAGGCTGTATGTTAATGCTCGGGGGAGTATTGAGGCATTTAGGATTAATGATCGAATTGGTGATAGTCAGGTTAGGGATGGGGAGGAGATCGTCTGGGAGGAGGAGGATGCGGATTGGATGGATGAGCAGGACTGTGACTGGTTCAAGGGCTATGCATCTACCTGGACGACACCTAATGTATCAGAGTCAGACATTAATCCGCTGTGGGATGAGATGGAGAGAAATTTTGAGGGGAACAAAGTGAAGACTGCTACGCCACTTGCTATGGTCTTTGCTACGAAGAGATATAGCTGATGTGTGATTTGTCTTGAGATTAAAAGTAACCTAGGCCAATTTATCTCCATTCCCAAGTCAAACCTTCAACTGTTTCTTCTCTCTAACGATCTCCTCGACAACCTTAGCCGCGGCTAGGGTTTCTTCGTCCTTAGACCGCTTCCCAGAAATTTGGAGTCCCACGGACGCGCCCTCATATCTCTCCGGGTCTTGGTACTTACGCCACTCCCTCTCATCAACCTCATCCCTAGGAACATACTCCCTATCTTGCTCCGTCAACACATCTACCTTCGGATCCACAGTGATCCCAGACGGGAACACTACAGAAGGCAGGTCTACTAAGTTCCAAATCGCAGTATAATTCCAATACTGCGACTCGCCCATCACTGCAGCGGCAGCGGGATATGTCGGAGAGAGAATAAAATCAACTCCGCGCCTATTGAGAAGAGCATGGTACTCATCTCTGTAGGCATCACGTTGTTTGTGCAGAGCCCATGCCTCGGGGTGAGAAAGAGGCGTGCTCCGGCTATAGGTAAAAGCCCAATCAGTCAGTGGGCGTGCAGGCTCGCCTGAAATGGCAAGAACCTCGCGTTGCTTGCTGGCAGCATCAGGGTAGTATAGAGCGGACTGAGTTATGTTAGCGTTATAGCGCGCGTGACCAGAGCAGATTCAGCACCCACAATAACTTCCCAGCCATGCTGGTGCTTATACGGCTCCCAGTCTACCACTTTCACACCTGCCGCTACCAGCTTCTCCTTGGCATGTCTCAAAGCGCGAGTGATAGGTGGATGGGGGCGGACCCAGCTAGGAAACGGATTAGTACAGTGACAAGAAATATATATTTGAATCACGACATACCCATCATCCCACATAATAGCCACTGTCATATCCCGTGTCGGAGCAATCGTCTTCCATGGCACAGGCATCAGTGACGTCTCAATATCCCAAGGCTCCTGCTCCAATACAGCTCGCTGAAACAGCTCTAGATCCTCAATCGAGCAGCTAGACAACGGACCCACCACGCCGCGGATTGTCTCCTGGCCTGAAGCAGCGACTTTAATTCCTGTTCCAGGGTTCCGCAGTGTGGAAGGGCGGAACCCGTACACACCGCAAAACGCTGCGGGGCAGCGAATTGACCCCCCGATATCACTCCCAATCCCTAGCGGCGCGCACCTAAATCCCATTGATGCACCTTCACCGCCAGAGGACCCGCCTGGGCTTAGAGTGCGGTTAAGTGGGTTCAATGTTGTGCCGGTGATGTTGTTGCTGCAGCACAGGTGCTAGATAGCGTTATTTATAAAATACACCGCTAATGTGGAGTTTATGGACTTACCATTAATGACTGGGGTTGGTTAGTCCGCACATGGAAAATGGCGCCGGCCTTGGATAGGAGTTGGAGGAGAAGGGCATCTTCCTTGGCGACTTCATCGACCCTGTTTTTCTTGTCAGCGGCGTGGTTTCTCGTGGCGTATTGATACTCACCAAGCTACGTATCCCGTATTGCAAGTTCGATTCTTCATGGAAATATGTTCTTTTACGCTGATTGGTATGCCATGCTGCCGTTGTTTCATTAGTAACTTTCTATACATTTCAACTGGTTTGAATATGAGCTCACCAGAGGCCCGACCAGTTTCCCTGTACGTCTATAGTACTCATCATGCTCTTTTGCGCGAGTGATTGCTTCGTCGGCCATAAACTCCGTTGCAAAATTGAGCTAACAACCATGTCGGGGTCAGTGCAAGAATTACAAGGGCGGAGTCTCGTAGTCTCTCTCACCAGTTGATGGCCCAACACGGCCCTCTTCAAGAACGCAACCACCACCTCTTCCGCGCTCAGTTTTCCATTACCCATTTCTGTCACCAGTTCCGTGGCCGACGTCTCAGTAATATTGAGCTCGCGCTCATTCAACAACCCACTTTGCTTGGGGAAGTCAACCACACTCTTCTGCGAGGGTGGCGGCAGCCTGTCCACAGGGAGAAGCCATTGCTTCGGAATAGAATTATTTAAGATGTCTTTGCCCTTTTGGGCTTGACTCTCCCAGTTACGAGTCATATTGAGGAATGATTGAAATGGGAATATGGGGGTATACTTCTGGTGGTTTGGAGGGTAAACTTGGGTATGAGAAAGAGGGAAGGGAAACACAAAGCATTTCGTATTTCCCCGCAGATAATCGGTGTGACCTACATGGCTATCTCGGAATCGGAACTTGTTTTCCATTGAGATAATGACCTATCTTACTGCTGTACACATCCCCGCATGGTAGAGTGGAGATGCTCTTATCTGAGGGACATCTTGCTGATTAAGGAATATATGCGCAGTCATTCTGTTCAGACTTTGGTTGCTGATAGATTGTACAATGGTACAATACACTGATAAAAATACGCTATTGCAAAAACTGGTTCCAGTTAGACAAATAGTCAATAAAAGAACCGAAAGTTCCGCGGAGGGAATAACCCCTAGCGTAATGAGGTTACTATCAAAGTGTGGGCAGGAGCAGACCGGGAGTTGGCGGTGCTAGCCCTGGAAATAGCGAGCGCTGAAATCGTCGACAAGCTGCCCCGTTTGATGAATCAGTTGGAGAACCTGACGATACAGACTGGCATCTGTTACAGCTAGCTCCGATGGGATCGATTGCAACGCGAACAAGATAGCAGATGATGTTGAATAGGATTTGTCATGTTGGAATCGCTGGTCGTTGTTTGCGTATACACATGTTAGGTTTCTGGTGGATCAGCTCCTCGTTAGCAATAATCAACGGATTGGCGACGTGGTGACCTTTCAATGATCACGATGCCTTTAATGGTCAAAGGAAGTGGGTATCGCACGGACAAAAGGTCCTCACTTACATGGTGGCCGCCACTAAGCTCCTTGGAGGATAGGCTTGCAGCTTAGTAGATTCCAGAGTTAATCTGTTGCTGACCAGGGTATTTGAAACTTGGATTTTAAAGCGATATATATATATATATCCGGAGGACTCGGTACATGTTAATTCACGGAGCTGCCAGTAAATCAAACATAGAATCCACTTTAGTATTAATCTCTTTCTCTATTAGGTCTATGGCACGGATAGTGACGTTCTAAAAAATACAAACGCCTTGGAACTAGGACATTGCAAAACAGATAATTTAATTAATTTAAAATAAAAATTAAAGAGCAAAAAAAGAAATCTCTCCCTCGGGGAATCGAACCCCGGTCTCCCGCGCTTATCGGTTTTAATGACAAGCGGAAATCATCACCACTAGACCAAGGAAGATGCGATGGTCGAGTTACTGCTCGACCACTTGGCTGGTTGATGGAAGAATTGGTGCATATTGACATCATGCCAGTGAAGTCAACTATACTATGTTTTTATCCACAACAAGTCAATTGCTCACACACCGTCCCACAGATAACCTGGCACCGGGAAGATTCATGCACCCCATCAACTTCCTCCAACTCGGGCTGCAGTGTAATGGAGTGGATTCCATAGGCATGGAAACATTCATTGATCACGCGCGCTGTCTTCATAAAGTCCTCGACTGAGTCCTCAGACACGACGACATGCACTGAAGCAAGGGTCTTTTGTTGGTTGAGACGCCAGATGTGGAGTTCATGGACTGAATTGACGCCCTTGATCTGGAGATTGTTAGTATGGAATGAAAGAAATACAATCGTGGAGGTGGAGGTGGAGTTACCTTTTCTAGGTCATGTTTGACATCGCACATGTCAACCCCAGTAGGCACGCTCTCTAGCAGGATCATCCCGGCTCGGCGCACTAGATAGGGTCAGCTTTGCTATTTCATTTTGCCCCTCTTCTGCGGAATACACTTACTCAGAGGGAAAGACGACAGAATAATGAGGATGGCAATGAACATGCTCACACCGGGATCGGCATAATGTCGGCCAGCATGGGGTGCCGCGAGCCAGATAATCAGACCTGCGGCCATGACGCCCAGGTTATTGATTGCATCGCCGATGACGTGGATCATCACTCCCATCATGCCCAGATCACCGTGGTTGTGACCACCATGACCATGGCTATGGCCGCCTGAGTCTGCGCAGTGATGTTTTTCGAAATGAAGATGTTTGTGATCGTGATGCTAAGTTATGTCAGTCGGTCTGGATTAATTGGATTCCTCAAATTATTGCAGCTTACTTTGGTGCTGGAATCATGATATTCCTCGCCAAGGTGAAGAACTGGTGTCTCAATTGTGGGTGATGGACTATGGTCATGACTGTGTTCATGCTCGTGTCCGTGTCCATGCTCTGGTCCCTGTCAGCTTGATACATAACAATGACTCCATAAATCGTACCGTGAAGGAAGACTGCGCTAATAATATTCAGGCCCAATCCGATACACCCAATGATGAACATCATCTTGGGGTTATGAACATCTAGATGCACCGTCAGTCATGACCAGACAAGATCAGCGTCCAGTCTGGGCGATGGGACTCACTTTGTAGAGCAATAAATCGCTCAATGGACTGCAAAAATATACTAATACCCAACCCAAACAGAAGAACGCCATTGAAAAAAGCACCGAGCAGCTGAGCCCGCTGCCAACCAAAAGTGAGCTCCTTGGGCGAGTCAGTGCGCTCAGATTTCTATTTCACATCAGCATGACCATCACCATACAACCATACGACACTGTACCTTCAATGCAACAAGAGCAATAATAAACCCAACTAGATCATTCAACTGCAATGAATCTTAGCAAAAAAACCCCTCCAACTCCACACCCGAAACCGCCTACATAGTGGAAAGCATCCGCAATCAGAGAAATAGAGTGGGTATAGAAGCCCACTAGCCCGGTATCAGCATGTCAGCATGTCAAAGTCCATACCAAAACCAAGAAAGGGCAACCGACGCGAAATCTCAGCCAGAAAGAAACATGTCGATATGCCAATCACAACGCTCAGTCGTGTCGAGCGTGATAGATGAAGAACCATGACTGCGGAGATCCAATAACAGAAAGGAATTGAAACAGAACAAAAATTCAGGAACGTAGCTTGCCATTGACGAAAAGTACATTTTTCGCTGCGAGATCGCGAATACTTCTGCCTTCCACTCTTAATTCAGAAAGCGGCTGGAGCAATACTCCTGCTGTGCGACTCTTCCTGAAAGGTGGCCGGTGGCTCCGGTACGAGGCATGTAAAGGACATGGTATGCGGGAGGTTGAGTATTATAGAGAGTTTAAGTGATTTCTTGGACTCAATTGGTCCAGTTTCTCTGTAATGGTGGTATATCATTGCTAATGGCGGTTGGGGTATGTTATATGGGAAGGGTTAGGGTTAGGCACAAGTACCAAGGGCTGGAGCTACATGGGCCCAAAAGGATCTGCCAAAGGATCTACCAAAGGACCTTGCTAGCATGGAATCTTCTAGGATCATATTTTCCCCAGCCCTACAGGAACTTGCGGATTGGGGTTGTGTGTTTTGCCGATCAGCCGATGAAGAATGCAGACTGGCTACCTACGTGGTGTATCACAGCATTTGCAGGTGGGACCCTACCACAACCTTGAGAGTGTGTACAAAAATGTATTAAATATTAGGAATATAGAGCGGCTGAAATTCTCATTCAACAAAAAAGCTAACAGTTTTGATACAATTGTCATGGTCACATTTTAATTCGTTTGATATAAAACACCAACTCAAGCAGCAATCTGGTCAGAAAGCCCATCCAGCTCACGCGCCCAGTTACGGTGTCGAGAAATATGCCAAATAAACTGCTCAGCCAGACCCTTTGAATCAGGCCCTACGATGCCAACTTTCAGCAATGAAACCGCGTCTCCATGGCCCGTGACAACACCATAGGACTCCTTGAGTGGAGAACCACTTTGCGCAACCTCGACTTCAGGAAGCCCGATCTGCTTCTCAATAAATGGCACAGCCTCATTAGCACCAGCAATAGCCTTAAGATGAGCGAAAGACTCAGAGATCCAGTGCTTGAAAACGCCATTCTTCAACAACGCCTGGATATGCTTTCCACCAGGCACGTAGACCGCATCGAACAGCGTCGAGCGCACCCCAGAAAAGAAGTGGTCAGGAATAACCTTCTGCCCAGACTCGGCAGTCACACCCTGGCGCTGTGCACCGATCGTAAAAACAAACGCGCCACGCTCGCTGAGCACCTCTTTCATCGTGGTATACTGGTTGAAGTCGAAGCCATCGGCAAGCAGGATGGCGATGCGGCGCGTGGCGATGATTGGTTTCTCTGGCATGAATTCAAGTTGGCTAAGACCCTTGGCTTTGATACCTTTGTTTTCTTTTAGAGATTTGACCGGTGTATCGCCGCCGACGTTCTTCGCGACAGTCTTGGCTAGATCTAGATCGATCGCTGACAGACGCTCGGTCATGCGCTTATAGACGATGGGGTCGTCGCAGTGGTCTAGCTCGAAGGAGAATGCCTTCGCCACATGCATCTTTTCAATCGGCGAGAGCGAGTTGTAGAATACCTGCGCCTGGTTGAAATGCTCTTTGAACTTGTCTGATAGCGCGCGCTTCTTTGGGCCCTGGTGTTTCTGCGGGTAGCTGACGAAGCCGCCCTGCTCTGCTGTCGCGGGCGGGTTGGCTTCGAACCGGTTCGGCCAGTAGTTCACTGTGCCCTTTGTGATGCGGTGTCTGCCCTGGCCATCGCGGTTGACTAGACTCATGTATGGACATACCGGCCTGTTGATGGGCAGTTCTTCCCAGTTCGGTCCGAGCCGTGAGATCTGTGTGTCGAAGTATGAGAAGTTGCGACCTTGAAGCAGGGGATCGTCGGAGAAGTCGATGCCGGGCACGATATGGCTCGTACAGAATGCGACCTGCTCGGTTTGAGGGAAGAACTCGTCGATGTTACGGTTGAGTTCCATCTCGCCGATGTAGCGGATGGGCACTAGCTCTTCGGGCCAGACCTTCGTGGCGTCAAGAGGGTCGAACTCGAAGTTGTCAGCCTTTTCTTCGGGGATGAGCTGCAAGCCAAACTTCCAGCGTGGGAAGTGTCCTGCTTCGATCGCCTCCATTAGGTCTTTTCGGTGGAAGTCGGGATCCTGGCCGTTGATCTTCAGCGCCTCATCCCAGACGAGCGAGTGCACTCCCAACTCTGGGGTGAAGTGGAATTTGACGAAATGGCGTTTGCCGGCCTTGTTAATCAAGGAATAAGTATTCACGCCGAATCCCTGCATCATCCGGAACGAACGCGGAATAGCTCTATCGGACATAATCTGCCACGAACTGTATCAGCAACCTGATACTAACCCACACAGGAAATAGAAATACTGACCCACTGGTTCATATGCGTAACCTCCGAGTGCATATACTGAAAATCCCAGAAGTTATTGTGCGCAGACTGACCCTGGGGCACCTCGTTATGCGGCTCAGGCTTAACAGAATGAATAACATCAGGGAACTTGATCGAATCCTGAATAAAGAAAACAGGAATATTATTCCCGACGATATCCCAGTTTCCCTCCGCGGTATACATCTTGATGGCGAACCCTCGCACATCGCGTACCGTATCTGCGCTGCCCCGACTACCCTGCACCGTCGAGAACCGCAGGAACAGCGGCGTCTCCCGGCTGGTATCGGTCAGAACCCCGGCGGTTGTTACGTCCGCAGCGCTCTCATATAGTTTGAATTTGCCGAAGGCGCCTGTCCCCCGTGCGTGCACTACTCGCTCCGGAATGCGTTCGTGGTCGAAGCGCATTATCTGTTGTTCGTTAGTCTGTTTGTTCAGATATATATTGGTGTATGTGTGGATGTACCTTCTCACGAGCGATTTGGTCTTCCAGGAGTGATGGCCCTGTCTTCTTTTCGTCTACTACACGGAGCCATTGGTCTGGGTTGGAGATTTTGACGCCATGGTCAGTTGTCATATGCTGCTTGGCGTGGACATCGACGGTATCCTTTTGTAGATCAGCATGCTTGCCGTCTGCAGCCTTTGAGTTTGGATTTGCTGCCATAGTGTGTGGCTGATATTATAATGATACCAGGAAAGAAAATATGGTAGGTGAAGTTTGCGTCGGCATGAATTTCCCACTTTATATCTAAAAACCAAGCTGATCACTGTGCAATCCCCCAGATGCGACGTCAATGATGTAATCTCCAGTTGCGAGATCGCATCTACCAGCGAAATAAAATCCGACAATTACAAATCCCAAAGTTGATTATCCAAGTCGTCGAGCCTAGCCAGGGTGGAATGACCACTTTGCAAGAATGACCATGGTATGACCTACCACTGTACCCTACCCCGGGCACTTTACCAACCAATGCCGACAGGAAAACCGGTAATAGAACAAAACAGACAAGAAACATTGCGAATTCCTCCCTTTTAATTCGCGGGGCGGTTTCCTGCAGTCCACCCGGGGGTTAGTTATAGCTCGGTAGCTTTTGCTTGTGTTGTCTGGGCGGTCGATCATGGGGAGTTCCACTGGCAATACAAGGTATTGGCACCGAAATGGTGGGTCATGCCGATTGCAGGTTACCGATGACGTGAAATTATGCCTGGATTCGAGCTTCTTATTTATTGGACGTCCTGCCTATGTGGATTATCCCGGAGATGACCTTAATGGAGTGTGACGTCACCTGATATCAGGGTGGGAATTATGCCCGAGCATCGCCAACATATATATCATAGGGAACTGAGCTGAGGATGAATGTGTTAAATATACTTTGTAGATATGGTATATGATATAGGTAACTCGAGGGAATCCAAGATAATTCACAATTCTAAGGAAAGCTATGCTATATACACTAAACTCGATCTATGTGCATAGGTATCTCTCTAGAGCACAATGTAATGTAAGGAAAGACAGGAGGGCAAGCAAAATCTACATGTTATCCTCACTCCAATGACTCCTCGTCTTCTGCCAAGCGTCGCGTTCCTCCTTGGTTTGTGCAGGACTTTTTCCAAGTCCCAATCCGCGCTCCACCCACTCCTTACTCCCCATCTCAGAAAGACGGGAAAGAGCACGCGCAAATGCAAATCGCTCCTCGTCACCACTGAAAATAGATGTGTTCTTCAGCATCTGCACGGACATGCCGAGGTCGTCCATTAGCATGCGCATGGAGTCGGAGAGATCTGAGTGGTCGTTGCCGTCGCCTTTGAGGGTCTTCTTTACGTCAGATTCGGAGATGAAGAGGTTTGTTAAGGGGACTTCGGTGGTGAGAACCAGTTTGGCCTGTTGACGTGGGTTGTTAGTTGACTGCATTATAAAAAAAAGGTGAACGGAAACCTTGCTCATTACTCACCCTACTCTCATATACCGCATCGATAAAGGTAATGAAACGTCTCGCTAGATCACGCTGGGTATGGTTCATGCTCGGCACGTCCGTGACAATGAAGGCATCATAATGCCGGACGAGCTCGAGGTAGTCGGCTGCACCTGTGGCCGTGCCGATAAGCTCCTGGAAGGTGAACTGCGTAGCCTTGCCGCTAGCACGGGGAACCTTGATTTCGCGACCCCAGACGACTTGCGATTCTGTGTGCGGCGGGTCATTGATAGGGTCGCCCAGGAACTCGAACCACTTCTGCGCGTGCTGTTGTGCGTCCTCGCCTAGCGGATAGTGGTAGACGGCAGCCGGGGGCCGGGGGATTTTGCGATAATCTGTCGGGGAGTTGAGATTGATGACGCTCAGATCAGTTTTGAGGAGGTTGATGCATGGGATGAAGGATTCGCGCTGGATGCCGTTTTTGTACAGGTCGTCGGGATGACGGTTAGATGTGGTGACGAGGACCACACCGTGGGACATGAGGATCTCGAGAAGCCTAGTTGGTGGCTTGTCAGCTATGTTTTTGACTAGGTCTCGTCTGGGGAGAGAACACATACCGTCGCAGGATCATTGCATCGGCTACATCCGTACACTGGAACTCGTCAAAGCAAAGCACGCCCGCAAGCTCGGCAATATCGGCCGCAACCATCGGAAGCGCATCGAAATCGTTTCCATACTTCATCTTCACCACGTGCATGCGCTTATGTACATCCTGCATGAAGTTATGGAAATGAATGCGCGTCTTATCCTTGATGTTCGGCGGCAGCGTATCGAAGAACAGATCCATCAACATCGTCTTGCCACACCCAACATCGCCATACATGTACAGTCCCTTTGGAAGGTTATCGGGGATAGCAGACTTTTCCTTCTTCTTCGCGCCACCGCCGAACAGAGACCCAAAGAAGGACGACTTTTGCTGTGGGTCGAGAGACTCGGGCTTGGGGTGAACAACTTTGGGCGGGTTGTAATCCTTTAGCGCTTCGAAGAGGTCCTGTAGATTTTGGATAATCCCTATAGAATCGGCGCATGTCAGCTTAGAACTGTGCTCCGCCGGAGTTGGTCACAGCCTACCTCTCTGATACTCATCATCTCTCAGTCTCCCCTCCTGCACACGCACATCATATTCCCTCATGGGTCCATCCTGCGGCGGAGCGGTGACGGTCTTCTTGCCGTCCGAGACTGTTGCCAGATCTCGCCCCTTCGGTGATTGAACAGCCAGCTGGGGGCGGATCCTCTCCGAAGACACGCATAGCAATGGAGATCGACTCGGTCGCCGTAGTATATTGAGTGCCCTCTGCTCCGTGGCATAGGATCTACGAGTGGCGCCCCGCAGCGTCGTAGGGCGGAGGCTCCGAGGCGCCCGCAGCGCGCTCGGGAGGCACTCTGCGCATAGCTTTGCCGATGGGCGGCTCATTGGCGTGCTTTTTTGGACGTTGGCTTGGCAGGTTCGTTGCGACGGTAGACTCGAGGTCGGGTTTAGCTGGCGGAGAGCGGTTGTAATGCGAGGGCGTTAACCGAGGTATTGTATTGTAGGCAAGGATTTGTTTTTCCTTCGGAAAACGGCGACAGGTTCTCGTAAGCTAAGGTAGGGCCCAGGCTGTAGATGGCGAATTACAACACTCAAAATATTTACACAGCTCCTGCAGCCCTCTTGACTAATGACAAAGATTCTAGTGGACAACCGTTAGATCCGTATTCCTGGGGCCGAAGAGTCGGAACTATGGAGTCACGTGACTCTATCATTGCCGTTCTACCTCAAAATATGTATGTTTCTAAAGTTATATCAAGATGTATTTAGTATCAAAAGAGCTGTGAGACACCACGGCTAGGCCACTCTCAGGTGAGAAGGCCCCCCGGTATATGCACGAGAAGTAAAAAAAAAGTATGTACACAACACAGAAGCAGGCAGACCGGGGTATGATCCTGAACAGGATAAGATGTAGATCTGATGCGAAATGGACGCAGAAATCAAAAGGAGAAAGCCCATAATGCGACATTGCAGAAACAATAAAACCAAAGAAAAAGAAGACATGCAGATAGAAAGGAAACCATGCCGTACATCCCCGCATCAGATTCGTTAAATCGCGATCTCGTCCTCATGGACCATGTGAAATCGCTCAAAGAATCGATGACCAGTTTTGAAAAAGAAGAAGGGAAAAAAAAAAAACAAAGATCATGAATCATCCCAAAAAAACTCCAATGCACCAACCTTACTCGTGGCAAACATTAATATGAGATTGATGATAACCTCATCGATGAAATCAAGGGCAAGTCTATCGTTGACCACAACACCAGGGAAGAAACGAGTGCTTTTTATGCGACATTGACGAAGAGGGTCAGCTTGGTGTTCCGCTGCATGGCATTCTCCAGATCCTGATCTGTGTAGAGATCGATGTAGGAGCCAGAGGATTCGTCACGGTACTGCACAACTATGTCGTCCTGGATCTTCAACCGGTCGCATAGCTTGTCCTTGAGGTGCTGCATGCTCACGCCAGATGGGATGCGGATCGCAATCAGGTCATCCTGGAAGAACACCTTGACCTTCATCGCGCTGTTGGCCGATGCGCCGGAGGCTTGGGTAATGGAGCTGGGTTGGCGGTTCATGGGTGGCGGGCCACCGTTGGCATAGGGTGTGGGTGCTGGAGCACGCTGCTGAGATATCCGCTCAGTGGACGCATTGATTTGCTGCTGCGAAGACTGGCGCGACACGGTTTGTTGGGTATCCATGCCGCCGGAGTGTTGAGATCCACCTGAGAACCGCGCGTCCTCGCCGAACGCATTGGGGTCGATTTCGAAGTCGCCTTCTCGGGGCGAGAAGAGTTCGCACACGAGTTGACAACGCGAAATATGCGGGGGCATAGACAGGAGCTTCTTGATGTATTCGTCCAGGTTCTGTCGTCGGCCATTGGAAATCGCGTCCGTGACGTGGGTGACAGGACCGGGCATGAAAGGGAGGGTTCGCCCACGACCACGGTTGCCAGCTTCGTCTTCGAATTGAGTCAGAAGGGCGATCTGGAAGTCGTAGAAATCGTGATAATAACGCGACAGCTCCCAGCAGCGACCGTCTTCCATCTTCGCCTCGATAATGTACCAATACTTGTCGTTATCGAAACAGTAGCGTGGAATGTAGGCGGAGACGGGGATGAGAAGTTGGTAACCTTGTTGCGCCATGGGTACTTGCGACAAGGTTCCCTTGCTGGCGTTACGTTGGTGCTCCTGCTCAAGCCCATCATCGGTCAGTAAATGGAATCGCAAATGGGAATCAGAAATTTCGCCTACATAAACATTGCCATTTTGACTCATTTGACTCTGGTGGCCCATGGACATGTTCTCCATACCCGAGGTGACAGCCATCATGTTGCCACCGCCGTGACCAGCCTCGATTTTGCCCAGTGTGATACTACTATTCTTGTATTCCGCCGTCATCTTCTTCCACTCCTCAACCTTGGGAACACCGGCGCGTCGCACTGCATCAAGCGGGTCGGTCACAGCCTGTCCGCTCTGCATATCACGCAATTCGATGAAAGAAACGGGAATCAGTCCTGGGCCGCCGAGACGACCGATAGGTTTGGCGACAAACCACTCCGGATTAGATTGGGCGATGACGATAATGGCTTCGCCCGCCTTCGCGTCCAATTCATCGGGTCGCTCCGCCTGAAAATCGTACTGGACAATTCCATAGACCATGGCGCCTTGACCCTTGAGTGCAGACATTCTAAATGCGCCGTTCTTGGTGATGGGAGAATCTTGGGAAAGACCGCGGTCGGAGAATCCTGAGTCGTGGTCCTTGGACAGGTCGCCGGAACCCCCACTATCCCTCTCGTTTTTGCCGATAACCTCAAAAAAGGAGACGGGCACAAGCCCCCTAGCACTAGGGATCAGCGGATTGCACGCTTCGTACCAATCCGAATCGTCCTCCCTGCTGATAACGTGAAAGAAATCTCCCTTGCTGAATGCCAATTCCTGTGAGGTCCCCGGCTCCGGTTGGTAGTCGTAGAGCGCTTTAATTACCTGGGAAATGCGGTCAGCCACTGCCAAGAACGAGTCGGAGAGTGGGACAAGGAGGGGCGAATTCAACCCAACTGGCGAATTTGGCGCATTTGGTGCATTTGGTGCATTTGCGCAAGGAACTCACTTTTTTCGGAGGTAGGATCGCAATAGCGGACTTGGGTGTAATGGAGATGTGGTGATGTTTGGGTTCTTTCTCCCCCTTCAAGGATCGCCTAAAGGCCTATAATTTTTTTTCGAAACCGGATTAATTAATCTTGATACCAGGTAATACTTCGGAAGGGGAACTCACCTTCATGATAAAAGAGTTTTGTTTTTTTTTTATAAAAAAAGGGTTCAAGGAGAGAAAGAGGAGGAAAGAGAGGAGCAGCCTCTTTTTTAGCCAAAATGTATACCTTGACCAGCGTAATCCGTATTGCGGTTCCAACCACGCGGCTTGGATGATTGCCAGGGGCCCGCTTTTTGCTTTTTTTTACTTTCTTTGTGGTTATATGTTGTATGTTGTTGTAGATACTTTAGGATAGATGTATTCCCGGGCATTCCAGGCATTGTAGGCATCTCTATACTAGTCTTTTGATCTTATATCTACGGCAATGAACCTTTGAAGATGGTATGGTCATGTCAATACAGGATGACGCCAGCCTTCAGAACCTTGGAACCTCCTCAGGTTGAGCCTCGGGATATACATCGATGTACATCAATAAGGACATTAGATGTCTTACTTGAAAGGTTCAAAGGGCTCTAGAACCATAATTTCCCCAATGGAATATATTCGAACACGCCTTTCCAATTCTACATTTGCTATCTCCAGATTGTCCAGATTACAAGCCGTATTACTTATTGCCGCCGTTGGGCAGACAAATGATAATCCACCGTCGGCGGCTAGTGCAGCAGAATCACACCCTACTAGACTAAATGCGACTCTGTCCGAGTCTCTCCACTTGCCATTTCTTATATGTACCTTGGACATATTTTACAGACTACATACATACTAGTTCATTCATACATTTTCATACAACATACATGGTACAGGTACATAGTAAGAAAAGGTACGAAGTACGGAGTACACAGAACGAAAAAGAAGAAAAAGAAGGATCTTTGCCCCTCACTTCCCCACTTATAACCATGGTTCAGCTATACCTAAACCGCGGATTCTGACGTCGTCTCAAAGCCCGTTCCAGTCTTTCTCTTTTAGTAATTTTTTGGAAAATCAATTTAGGGATATACGGAGGTACTATATATACTCGGGGATCTCCACCGAAACAAAGGGGAAAAAATGGATAAAGATGTATCAAAAACAAAGGGCCTAGAATGGGGGCCGAATCGGATGGGGAGAATTAATCCGTTCTTATTAAAAAGATATTTCGAAATAAAATTCTGGGGCTGACCACGAATGCGCGGCTCCTGCAATCTGCCGACTGTACATGTATGCAGAGGAAATTTCATCTCGAATTTTATGAATTTTAGATACAAGAATTAAAATTATAAAAAAATAATTAAATAATTAAGACACTGGCAAGCTGAAGAAACTCTGTTTAATGTCGATCATCGGCCATATCTACAAAGTACAAAGTACATTGACCCAATGTTGTATTCCGGACTCCGTACTCCGTACTCCATACGTAAGCCATGGATTGTGCCGCTTGGCAGGTCCCCGCACCTGGGTCTCGACCAGAGTTTCCAAGGTTGCTAACTCGCTTCCTGGTACGGCCGAGCGTTGGCCTTGGTTACCACGTGGCGACTTTCTATGTATTCGAACACTATCCAAATTTGAGGCCATCTACTCCGTACGAGTCAAGGAACTCTGCATATGAGATAAGTACTGGATAGATTGGATGTAAGTATTTACTATGCCAATTGTGCAATCACCTCTCTCCATCGGACCAAGTCAAAGAGCACATGTTTTGTTCTCTGGTTCCAAGAAAAAATCAACCAACTCCAGAACCAGACGCCCGCCGGGGGTGTGTTAGTATCGTCGCAATTCCACTGGCCATCCTGTGGCAACAAATCCGGATGATGATGTCGAGGAGAAACCCAGGAGAGACGGGAACGAATAGGCAACAAAAAAAAAGGAAGAACTTTCGAAAGGATATGTCGTATCCATGTGGACGCATGTCAACGCCTGCCGCTTTTGAAAATACGCCAAAAAAAGATAAAGAAAATGACCTTGACTAAGATCCAATGGTTTATGATCCTCGGGGCAAGAAAGAGATGGAAAATGAGAACTTGGTTAGATCTGGCCTTTGATATCGACGACGCGGTGGGCGGCTGCTTTGGCTTGATCGAACAACGAGCCTGCTTTGCCCGTCAACAGCCTTACAGCCCCGTTCCTCTCCTCCAGCAGTTCTTCGGAGGAGTTGTCTAGAACAAAACGTGCGGTCTGTTCATCGGATTCGAATCCAAGCTCTTCTGTGATAAATCGGATGTTGACATCTGGTTTGTATCTACAAAAACAAAAAGTCAGCTAGAATGCTCAAATAAAACAAGGGAACAGGGAAAATCAAGACTCACGCTCTACACATGGTTGCAAGAGCACTCAACCGCTCACGTTCGACAAACATGTCCATGAGGTAGGCTCCCATATTCGGCGTATCAAGGTACAGCTGGAAGAAACGATGGTAGTTCCCAAGTGCAAGGGCAGAGCGGACATCCAGGGCATGCTTCACGGCCAGGTCTTTCTTATCTTCTGCAGTCACATCGGCTAAAGCGTCGTTCATCGCTGTCCAGTTCCGCGTGTAAATGAAATAGAGAATACGATAGGCCTTGAATTCTGTCGGGTGTCCCCCCAGCTGCTGGGCATACAGCACTCGTAGCTGGGTCTGGCACTGGTTGTACTCACCAAGATCCCCTTTTTCCAAGGCGATGCGCGCGTGGATTTCGTAGACAACAACAGTGAATTCATTTCGGATGCGCTGGACCGTTAGGTCTTGACGCAAAGACTTGAACTGGTCACAGATGTAACCATAGTTGCCATCATGCTTCCATTTCTTCTTCAATAGATCCAAGGCTTTTTGCAAAACCGGAAGAGGACGAACACTGTCCGGGTTGGGAGCAGAGGTCAATCGGAAGTAGTTCTTCTCCAATGTTTGGCATCGCCCGACAACGGGGCCTTGATCCGCGTCGGCAGCACGCGTCGGCGATCCTGCAGGAGAAGAGGGAGAGTTCCCGCTGCCCCCTACTCCCTCAAAACGCTTTCTCCTCATCTCCAAATTAGCTTTGGACTTACTAGACTGGTCCAGTGTTATGCGTGGCTTTTTCTCTATGGTAGGGTGAGTAACTCGATCTTCAAAACGATTGCGGTTAGCTTTTCTCCATGGCGGCGATCCAGTTTCCGAATGATGGCCGTCAGTTGACTTTCGCTTCCGTGTGGCATCTCCAGGAGAAGCTGGGTGACTGGACGCCCAGTTTGAAGAGCTGGGGTTGGCCAAGATTTTGTTGCGTTCATTCTGCACCATAGTTTGGGGCAAAGGTAGCCTTTCCCAGTCGATCAATCCCAGCTTGTCATTCTGGGCCGCTTCTGTAATGACATGCTTCAACTTCTCCTGCATTTCGGGAGCGCTCACGCTTGCAACTTGATTTTCGGGAGCAAAGCAACGTTGCACATACGAGCGTACGGGTGGTGGGAACTCCATCCGTGCCCGGGCTTCTGTATCCGGTGATGCTGACTGAGTGGGTTGGAGAGGCGCAGTTCCATTTGTTGGCTTTGTATGATGGGCGAGGCTACGACGCGCTTGGACTGGAGTGTATGCTGGAGCCGCTGTCCGGCTGTTAGCCTCCTGGCACGAGACCAACGTGACTCGGGTCGAATTATTTTTCATACCAGCTGGAGGAAATGCACTAGACATCGTGCCTGGGGCGGTAGAGCGCCAAGGTGGTACACTGGAACTCATCGTAGATGCAATATTTGGAAAAAAACAAAGAAACAAGATGAAAGGAAGTAAAGAGCTACGAAGGGGCAAAACTCGAGGAACGGCTGGAAGAGTCAAGTTTTTGATCTTACTCCTCGGCTGGTACTGGGTTTGGGATGAGAGAAAAGATGACGAACGTTTATTTTCAAGATGAGATGGTCACGAGCCGAAGGGAAGTGAGAGTGAAGTCCACACAGACTCGACCCGTGACGGTGAACGATGCTCGCTTACTCACCGGATATTTGTTTGTCCGTGAATCTTGCCTTATCAGGTTATCGCAATCGCCTTGGCTTAAATGACATAGGTACCTCTCTCTTGTCTCTTTATGGATCTCCTTGATGTTGGGAGCTAGTTGAACCTACTAGATGTTCTTCAAGTCGCTGGATCTGACTACTGCGCTCAGACCCTTGCTATTACCCGATGAGATTCTTCTCTTTGTCCAGGACGCGGTGGGGTTGTATGAAGGGTAAGTAGCTCATGATGATGCTCCTGATGCGGGGTGCTGATTAGAGGCAAAGGAAATACAAAATCCAGAATTACCAAAATGGCCATGCCTACCTCACATCCCACAGAGTGTGCTATGTTGCGGCCGAGGACCCGCGGAAGTACTCAGTGGCTATTGATCTGAAAGAAATCGATCGAGTGGAATCTCAGGTGCGACATGCATACATCTTCCTTTCGAGGTTTCTTATCTCGGTTGGTCACTAACAGACCCACGTATTCAAGGCTGGCTTCCTGAAGTCTTCTCCGAAGCTCACCATATACCCGAAACCCCAGAAGAAGAAGACCGATAAGTCGAGGAGCGCAACAGCCAGCCCGGCTGTAGCCCAGCAATCGGCCCTTCATCCAACGCAATCACTTTCTCACCTCCCACAAATCAACCTCCCACATAACTCATCATCTCCAAAGCTAATCAATGCCACTTGGATCTGTCCCATATGCTCATTCTCCAACCCAGTCCCGTCTAATTTCGACCCCGCAACGGCTAGTGCGGCTACAAATTTGCCCCCTTGTCTAGCATGTGGCATCAAACCACCATTTACGACCGTTCTCAAAGCAGCGATCAGTGCTGTAACAAGCCGGGAGTCTCCATTACTGGGTTCAGTTGGATCGCCAGCCATTGCACAAGATACTAACCAACCAATTTCCAATGCATCTTTATCGCCTCTTGGGCCCCGGGAAAC